AAAGCTGGTGGGTCAGGCACCTTTTTAGAAGCACTGAGTTATGAAGTGCCAGCAGTAGCAAAGAAGACCAATGGAATGACAAAGGAGAGAAAGCTCCCACGAATTCTAATGAGGGTAAAAGGTCTAATAGTTCATTCCCATTACTTACTACATTTTGCCTTGTTTTAAAGAGTTCACAAAGTGTAAGACAATAGCGCAAAATCTGTGATTTTTATGCCTTGCTGCTTTCTATTATATGTCTTAACCTTGTGATAGTGATAAAATACATAATAAATAAGTTTTAGGGCCTTTTTCTAGCCAGCAATGTGGTTCCTTGGGAGTTGAATGTTAAACACTGTAAACTGGATTTCTCTTCCCAAAAAGAAATGCAAAAACTGGAGGTTACAAGAAAGCTGGCATGAAAAGTGTTTACAGAGATAAGCATCAAGGTTGCTATAATAAAAGCATCTTGAAAACAATGCATTTAAAAGCATTTCAACAGAATGTATCTAACAAAGATTAAGGAAAGTATCTACAAATATTAAAATTATTTAAAAGTACATCTTCAATCCAATTACAAAGGCTCACTTTTGCTGTGTTCTTGAAATCTCAGGAGATGTACTAGACAAGGCATTTTAGTGTAGTAAAAGGAAGCAATCTTTTTCTAGTTTAAGGGTGAAATTACTATAAAGTTGCAAGAGTAGAGGTGGAAATGGCTGGAATGCAATCCGTCTTCAGAAGTAGAGTGGCAAATGGAAATGACTGGTTCCCCAAATTATCATTTGGGGTACATATTGCTTTTTTCTACTCTATCTCTGTTTCAGTGTTGGCTTCATTCTATCTGTACAGCTCTCTATGACATTCAAACCACAAGACAAAAAATGTCTGTGTCGTGGTATTCGAGTAGTTAAGAAACTAACAGAGAAACTGAATGCTATTGGTGACAATTCCAAATCCTCATGGGAAAGGATTTTGATTGTCTTATTCCCACATACCTGGCCTGTGTGTGAGGGCACACTGAAATAACATGACTATGAAAAGAGACTGACATGTTTATCTAGACAATAGATTATATATGAAATTGGGATCTATAATTTAAGACAAATACTAATTCTCTTGTCCATTCAACAAATATTTAACGAATATTTACTATGTCTTATCACTGTCTTAGTCATAAATGTTGAATATGCAGATAGTAAACAAGATAAACGAGATATCAGAAAAAATTGTCACAATTCATAGAAATTTGAGTGGTTTCATACAAAATAAAACAAATGACAAAGTAAAACACTACTACCTTGCTAGCTAGAGATGAAAATAAGGAAGAAAAATCCTTTAAAACCTAAAGTAATTTCTTAAGTTCCTAAAGACAGAAATGAATCCAGAATGAAATTTAAGATCACTATTGACCCTCTAAATATATCATTTGGGTCAGTCTTAGAGGAAGGGAAACTGTAAAACCTTTATAAGAAATTTGGTCAATGAGTCCTAGTTACATAAATATAGATGAGATCTATGTATATAATGGAGAAATATACATTTATTATCCACTCATACAATTTGAAACTTACAGGAAATAATGGTAAAATCACTATATTTTCTTTACATGGACTCCACTTACTATAAAGTGCCAATACTGGACAGATCATATATTGTGGAGAGAAGTTACTATCAGCATAAATAAGCCATAATGTGGTTTTAGGAAGGAATGAAATTTTATATTAAATGGAGAGCTTTGTAGCATATTCAAAAGTATAATTTGAAATACTGTATCATCCAATACGGTAGTATTATGAAGATTTTGCTAAATAGTCTCTGCTTTCAGGACCCAGTAAGAAAACAGAGAATGGGGCATCCAGAATATTCTGGGTTTTTTGTTGTTGTTGTTTTGTTTTTTTTGGAGTCTCGCTCTGTTGCACAGGCTGGAGTGCAGTGGTATGATCTCAGCTCACTGCAACCTCTGCCTCCTGGGTTCAAGTGATTCTCCTTCCTCAGCCTCCCAAGTACAGGTGCCCACAACCACACCTAACTAATTTTTGTATTTTTAGTCAAGACGGGGTTTCACTATGTTGGCCAGGCTGGTCTCGAACTCCTGACCTCAAGTGATTTGCCCACCTCAGCTTCCCAAAGTGCTGGGATTACAGGCATGAACCGCCACACCTGGTTAAAGAGTATTCTGTTCTTGAACCACTTATTGATCTTAGATCTTACTCTTTTTAACCTCCATTGACTACCTTATCCAATCACAAAATGTTAACTTGTCACTAGAATCTGATATCTCCTACCTCTCCAAAGGAATATTCTACTCCACCTGAAACTTTTTCTTCATCAACATTATACTGTAGCTTCCCTGGGATTAGGAGTCACATATGATTTATTTGCACATATATGCCTAGTGTCTAAAACAGTGCACACTGAGTACACATTTATTAACTCTGATTCAGGGGCTTCCTTCTAAGCCTTATACTACTCCCACTGAAATGCTCTTCTCTTACAATGCACTCACCTCATGAGCTTCTGTTCATTTTCTCATGATTTAATTCAAGCACCCCTTTGATGAAACTTTTCCTGAATCCTTCAGAATAAGCCAACCCCTCAGAATGAGCCAAGTTTTCCTGAATCCTTCAGATAACCCAGCATGCACCCCACTCCTATCATTAACATAAGACCACAACTTCTTTCTGATTCTGGGTTCTTATTTATGTCTTAGCAATGATTATATATATATATAAAAAATCTCACACCCACACACCAACACATACATATCACATATAAAACACAATTTATCATATATGTATATATGTATACAAATACAGTATTTGTAATATGCCTATGTATACACACACACATATATATATATATACAGTACTTATGTATTACATATCTATAATCCTCAACATGATTGTTGAAGTCAAGGACAATAAATGCCATTGTTTACTTGGGATTGCAGACGTGTTTTCCTAAGGATTAGAGAGGTGTAATACATAATACTGCATATGATATGAATCGGTATATGTCATAATAGAAATGATTTTTTTTAAAAAAAACAAAAGATATGTGAAACAAAAAATAAGTTAGGAAGCAAAAACTAAGTGCTATTAGAGTTGTCATTAAATACATATATTAAAATAAAGATATGCACATGGGTTAATACAAAGTTTAGATGAACTTTTTAGAGATGCTAGTAGTTAGGAACCAAAATTTACTTTTGTGAAAGAAATAGCTTACTTTTTATCCAGGCAGAAATCTTGGCCCTCCTTATCTTACTTTTTGCAAATCTGTTCATTCTAATAACGTATCTTACTTTTTAATTCAAATAGTTTCTAACACAGTATCGACCATATATCAAAAATATCTACATGCTACTTTCATATTGCTAAAAGTTAAAAATGGTCTAAAGTCTATTTTTTATCATTCTATGCTTTTACCTTACAAGACCATAAGAATTACTATAAAATACATAAAAAGACATTTTCATGTTATTTAATACAATGACTGTCATTTACAATAGTCACGACTATTTGTATTATCAGTGAAATTTAGTTCCATGTATAGAAAAGTAAAGCAAACATAAGAAGAAAAACACAGATCTTTAGATTGCATTTTAAAATTTTTCTATTATTCCAATCTAATAGGCTGTTTAAATTATTTCTTTTTCCTGCTTCAGAATTCAGCTTACTTTGTTAGTTTGTCTATTCTATAATGTCATTGAGTCTCTTGTCATATGTCCTAAGATAGTTTGTATGTGTTCCCTTCTTTAAACAATAGCTCCCTCAAAAAGTAAGTTCTTTTGGGCCGGGCGTGATGGCTCACACCTGTAATATCAGCACTCTGGGAGGCCGAACAGGGCGGATTGTCTGAGCTCATGAGTTTGAGACTAGCCTGGGCAACACGGTGAAACTCCGTCTCTACTAAAGTACAAAAAATAAGCCGGGCGTGGCAGCATGCGTTTGTAATCCCAACTACTCGGAAGGCTGAGGCAGGAAAATTGTTTGAACCTGGGAGGCGGAGGTTGCAGTGAGCCAAGATCGTGCCACTGCACTCCAGCCAGGGTGACCAAGTGAGACTCCATCTCAAAAAGCAAAAGACAAAAAACAAAAGAGAGAGAGAAAAAAAAAGTAGTTTCTTTTAAGGCCCTCTAAATCTATGATTCGGATATCCTTAACTATCTACTTTTGATAAACAAAGACCTCAAAATTAACCATCAAAATTATTAAAAACTTTTGACACATAACTTACAGAAACAGAGCTCTATCAGTCAAGTAGAGAGTAAGGAAATACCTTCGGTTCATTTGCTTTACTAGTCCAACTATGAGAGTCGTTTTAAAAATGGATATTGTAAGCCATACAGTGTTATTAATGTTTTGAGGTGGTTCATTTTCTTAGGCTGTTACCAATTTTAGACATATTTAGTACACTCAAAATATTTAAATATCACTCTTTTCACTATTTACCTAAGTATAGAATTATTAAAATTATCTTAGATCTCTAAAAAAATTACTATCCAATAACCGGTTTATCACATCAGTATTCAAAACATTTAACGTAAATTTATATGAAAGTGCTTCTAAGAAGTGTGTAAAAGTTACTGAAAACAAGACCAAATATATTCTAGGGATGCTTTTGCTTAAAATGTATATTAGTAATTCTTGTATAAGAATAAATTTTTAATTGTGCAAAGACCACATCCCCATCTCACTTTGTCCAAGTCCCCTTCAAGTTCAGATTTTCCCAAATATATTCCAGTTAAAGCAAAATTAAAGAAACTGGAAGCATTAGCACTAATGCCAATTTAACATAGCATAGATGAATGAAAGCAAAATAATAATAATAATAGTAGTAATTTCCAAAAGGACTGATTGAGCAACTTCAAGTATACATATACACATTTGTGTTCATGCGTGTATTGATCTACGTAAGTACTTTCCTATGAGTCTACTTTAAATAACTTGTAGGTTTTCAAAACCACATGCTTTACTTCCCTACCCTTTTCTTTTCTTTTCATTTTTATTTTGTTTAATAACAGTGTTAGTCTCCTTATGTGATATAAAATAGTCTAAAAGTCCGAAGTGGCAGAAAAGAGGCAGAAATGGAGATGACTGCCTGAAATTATCAACTGATATCTGATTTGTCCTCTGACTCTCCTAGTTCACAGCTTGTCAGAAAAAGATTTGCTAGATGTCATGTACTACATGGTGACAGAATCTTTTATCAATCTTAGGGCAACAGCAACTGCTTTAAACTCGGGAGCGTCAGTCATTATGGCTTTGTTACTGTTGTTCTTTTCCTGGGTGTGTTTCGCTATCTCTTATCTTTTGCCTAGAGTCACAGTGCCTGCCAGGCAGAAGAGCACACCTTCCAGGTATCAGCACGCAGGTCTGCCTGTATGCATCATGACACCACTGTCCACTCACAAAGAAGAGAAAGAAAGCCAAAGCTTTACCCGCAGGAAGGAGAGGTCTCGGTTGTGCTCAATGCTGGTTATCTCCAGGTTGCCCATGACAACCTCACAGTTTTCATAGTACTTGCGCAAGGCTCGGTACTGCTGTTCCAGGTCAGAGAGAGAGCTCAGTTTATTCTCCGTTCCTGCACACACTGCAAAGACAAGAAGATAAACATGAAATTATATAACCTTTATATGATATGCACAATAATATCTTCCTCAAAACTCTCTATTCCACAAGTCTATCCCAGTTCTCTGAATATAAATATTTTGATTATCATTAAGAGGCATAGACCCACACACTGATAAATATTTTCACTTTTAAATTCCCAGATTACATGTGCTAATCACAGAGAGCAGGAAGGCATACACTCCACAGAAATACATAGCAAGGAGATAAACTTAATCCCATTTGTTATGACCATATAAAGCAAGTAAATACATTTACTTTTATTTAAACATTGTTCCTTTAGGACATACAATTTACTCTGTTTTCTAATTGAGTAATTCTACAAATGTAAATAAATCAAAATCAAAAGATAGTGAAAGTAACAGTTATACTGAAAACATAGTTATTGTATAAGCTGTTCCAGCTGAGTAAATTTTTTACTAAATAAACTTGCACCTACAAGACCTCAAACATGCTTTATTATTATTTTTTTTAACTTTTATTTTAAGTTTAGGGGTACATGTGCAGGCTTGTTTACACAGGTAAACCTGTGGCATGGGGGTTATTCATATAGATTATTTCATCACCTAGCTATTAATCCTAGAACTCATTAGTTATTTTTCCTGATCCTCTCCTTCCTCCCATCTTCCATTCTCCAACAGGCCCCAGGGTATGTTTTTCTCCTCTATGTGTCCATGTGTTCTCATCATTTAGCTCCCACTTATAAGTGAGAATTTTCAGTATTTGGTTTTCCATTCCTGCTTTAGTTTGCTAAGGATAATAGCTTCTAGCTCCATTCGTGTCTCTCCAAAGGACATGATTTCATTCTTTTTCATGGTTGCATAGTATTCCGTGGTATATACGTACCAGATTTTCTTTATCCAGTCTACTGTAGATGGGCATTTAGGTTGATTCCATGTCTTTTCTATTGGGAATAGTGCTGCAATGAGCATACACGTGCATATGTCTTTATAATAAAATGATTTATATTCCTTTAGGTGTATGCCCAGTAATGGGATTGATAGGTTGAATGGTCTTTCTGTCTTTAGGTCTAAATTGAAATATTTGTAAACATATACTACAAGCAAGATATGTAAAAAATACAATTTTTATTGTTATCAACTGGAATATCACTGTATATATTCATGAGTTTCTGAGGTATAATGGACTGATAACAAATAATCCATCTGCCAGGTTCTGTTCCTATGTGAGCACATAAGTTTACACAAATTTTTTTGTTTTATTTTGTTTTCGTTTGTTTTTTAATTTTGTGGCTGGGCATGATGGTTCACACCTGTAATACCAGTACTTTGGGAGGCTGAGGCAGGTGGATTACCTGAGGTCAGGAGTTCCCAACCTAGGCAACATGGAGAAACCCTGTCTCTATTAAAAATACAAAAATTAGCTGGGCATGGTGGCTCATGCCTGTAATCCCAGCTATTTGGGAGGCTGAGGCAGGAGAATCGCTTGAATCTGGGAGGTGGAGGTTGCAGTGAGCCGAGATCATGCCACTGCACTCTAGCCTGGGCAACAGATTGAGACTCTGTCTCAAAAAAAAAAAAAAAAAAAAAAAAAATTGTGTGTGACTTCCAGAAGCCAGACTTTTCGGTACTATTCTTATGGTTTATATGCCTTCCAGAGCACTATCTTCACCACTCAATGTACTGACTCTAATCTTCAGTAGACTAAAAATATATATTATAAATCGATTAACAATGGCATGTAAAGTTAAAGAAAATGGTTTGGAAATGAATCTTCTTCAGGTAAGTTACATAAGATATGCTGAATTTAAGGCAAGATACAAAGTAGAGACTGCAAACACACTAGGAACACGGCTTAGTAATGTATTATATATGGTAACATATTACCTTATATATTATAATATATATAAGGTAACATATTACTTATATATATAAGGTTTATATTACCTCATATAATATATATATAAAAGACTCATGTCTTATATACACAGAAGTAAAAAAGATGTCATGATGTCTGATGTTGTTTTCAAAGGGATGAATTCCTGTAGAGGAAGGAAAATATCTAGATGGGTATAGCCTGATAATTAAGACCACCTTAAATCCTGTTTTTGCCTATGAGCACATCAAAAATAACAAAAATCTTAATTCAAAAATCTTGAAAAATAGTATATGTCTGTAACCATAGTGGAAATTCATTATAAAAACAAAGCCCAAACTTTTAAAGTCTGGATTTCTAAAGTTCCCCAAACAGTGTATTCTCTTGAAGTACTCTGTTACCAGCTAAATTGTGTGTCCCTAAAAGATAAGTTGAAGTCCTAATTCCCATTACCTAGAATGTGACCTTATTTGGAAATAGGGTCTTCCTAGATGTAAATCAAATTAAGATGAGGTCATTTGGGTGTTCCCTAATTCAACATAATGATAATAAAGCTTGTTCAACCTGAAGCTATTAGGCCACATGCAGTTCAGGATGGCTTTGAATGCGACCCAACACAAATTCATAAACTTTCTGAAAACATTATATGTTTTGCTGGGCTAAGTGGCTCATGCCTGTAATCCCAGTACTTTGAGAGGCCGAGGCGGGCGGATCACGAGGTCAGGAGATCGAGGCCATCTTGGCCAACACGGAGAAACTCCGTCTCTACTAAAAATACAAAAAATTAGCCGGGCGTGGTGGCGGGCACCTGTAGTCCCAGCTACTCGGGAGGCTGAGGCAGGAGAATGGTGTGAACCCGGGAGGTGGAGTTTGCAGTGAGCTAAGATCGCGCCACTGCACTCCAGCCTGGGCAACAGAGCGAGACTCCGTCTCATAAATAAATACATATTTTTTAAAAACCCACATTATATTTTTTTGAATCAGCTATGGTTAGTGTTAGCATATTTACGTGCAACCCAAGACAATTCTTTTTTCAATGTGGACCAGGGAAGCTCAAGGTTGGACAGTCCTGCTATAAGAAGAGGAAAATACCATGTGCACACAAAGACAATCAGGGAAGAAAGTCCTGTGACCAGAAAGGCAAAGGGTAGAGCCATATAAGTATAAACCAAGGAATGCCAAAGATTGATGGTCACCACCAGAAGTTAGGGAGTGGCAAGGAAGAATTCTACCTGGAGTTTCAAGGGGAGAATGAGCCTGCTGTCACCTTGGTTTTGAATTTCTAACCTCCGGAACAGTGAGAGAATAAATCGCTATTGTTTTAAGCCACCTACTCTGTGGTATGTTGTTAGAGTAGCACTAAAACAATCTTTAGACTATTTGTCTCTAAATCCCACATTAAATAAATGTTAAAAAATCACTTCCTCTCTCTCCAGGGTCCTATCAGCTTATAACCTCCATGCTACTCTTCCATTGCTCCCTCCAAGCCCCTTATACATCATGCTGGAATTCATTTATTGCCTTTGATAATGCAGATTTTGTAGAGTGATACGGATGGATGCTATGGTAAAGACCTCTAAAATATTTAATATCCATTTTCCTCTTCCTTCATTGTAATAGACTGCACGATTTTTAGCTGGACACGTGGTCACCCAAAATAAAGATTATATTTCTCTCCTTCCCTTAGAGGTAAGTTTGGCCAATGGACTAAGTTCTGACATGTTGCATGACACCTTCCCAGAACTTGATTTCAAACATGGTTGAAGCCTGACTTTGCCTGGTTGCTTCATAATTTCTTCCAGCTTGATGCCAGAAATGCAGATGTCATGGCTAAAACATGGGCCATCATCTTGGACCATAAGAATGAGTGATACATCTTAGAGATGGCTGAGAACTGAGCTAAAAGGAAGTAGGATTTTCAAGCAATAGATATTTTACATTGTCATATTATCAATACCATCAAGATGATGATGAATATCGGCCCCGCCTGCTAAAATGTTACATATAGAAAGGATTAAATTCTAGTTGTGTTATATGCTTTTGACTCTGAGTAATTTTAACTATTGTGCTTGGTTTGACTGAATTTGCTAACTATATAATGAAATTACAAAATCATTACTAATCACAACAACATTTTATTGGCTCTGTGGAATGTTCTCTTATTATTAAAACAAGCACCCAAGAAATGATATTCAACATAAGCAGGAGAATAAGAAAAATTGATTGATGTGCATATTCCTTATAAACCAAGATCAAAGTCCAAGATATTTTTCATTATATATTAAAGGTCCTTTTGGAAAAACGTTAATCCATGATCTTTATTTTATTGCTCCCAGTAAATTTATACAAAATCTTTATAAACTTATGACTGCTGAGAAATGGTATTATTATATGAGTTTATGAAATATACATTTTAATTATTTCAAATTCCAATGAGGACGAACATATTTTAATACAACTAATTATGGGGGTAATATAAGCATCCATTAATAAATTTGCTGCACCATTTCTAAAGTATATCCAATAACACATTGCAACCTATGTATAATTTACGTTGTATAGTTTCTCTCAATTGGAAATAATACTCATACTTTAATATTAATATAAAAAATCAATATGTAATAATCTAAATGAAAATGTTTTCAAAATATTTGGTGTATTCTGACCTTTTCTATAGAAGCATAAACAACCTTTTAGAGATGCATCTATTACTATAACTGCAATACCTAGGTAGTTTTACACAATTCCCATTCTACATATATAAAAAGGTATACAATATTAGACTCAATATATTATACAAGATTACTTGAATCTGGATAGTTATAAATTCATGATAAGTTCTCACTGTTGATATTCATTTAAATATTTGTATAGTATAAATACTTAGGATTTTGTTTAAACTTCTTTTTGTTTTTTTCTTTCTGTTTTTTTTTTATTATTATTATACTTTAAGTTCTAGGGTACATGTGCATAAC